GGGAAGAGAGAGAGAAGAGAGAGGAAATGAAGGAAGAGAAGGGAAAGGAGAGAGAGAGAAAGAAAGAGAGAGAGAGGAAGGAAGGAAGGAAGGAAGGAAGGAAGGAAGGAAGGAAGGAAGGAAGGAATCAAGCTAGCTGCTGTATTGAGAATATGCTCATTGGGAAGTTCAGTGCGCCTTCTCAGTTAGTTCGCTATGTCAGCATACCTTACTACTGAAATATTGGCTGGCTGTCTTGCTAACGACCCAGGCTCAGTATTATTTATTACCTTACTAATTTATAACCCCAGCATTCTGATGACCAGGCAAGGTCAAAACCTGACCTTGTCCGCACACCCGTAGTTTATCTGTCTCCGAGTCAGGACCCTGTTAATCACGATCAAGAGGCTGCTGGGAAGTCAGCTTCCGATTCGCATGAGGAAAACGCCTTCAGAAGGACAAGAGTGTTTGAAGGCTCTAGGATCAATATATTATTTCCCCGAAGAAGCTTAATCATAACTGACGCCTGCTAACTGAGTGTGAGTCAGGTCAAGAAGACCTCGACGATCCGGAGGGTTACTTCGGCGCAGCAAGGCACCTCATGTACCGTTCACACCGTACTGGGATGTTCTTTCAGACAGGATATGAGTTCTAGATGTCTCGGGTATTAGGAAAGATTGTACAAATCCACTGACTAAGGTTCTTTTTCTTTAATAGGTGTTTGACAAGCACTGCCAAGACTTGACCACGCCCCCTTTCTGTGATTGGTTAGTTGAATCCACCCCATCCCCCTTTGCCATGCACCCCTCTAGGCCAGCAGGTCCAAGAACCTTCTAAATCATCTTGTTTTCCATTAAGCCCCCATAGAAAATCCAACAGAACTTCCAGTTCCTAGACTCTGTTTTCTCAGACTAGAAACAAGAAAAATCACAGAACTATATGGTTTTTACCTACTGTGGGCAAAGTAGAAGTAAAGTCCTAAGAGTGAGGAAATCCCATTTTCTTAGGTTAAGAAAAAAAAATGACATTTACTTTATGTGTAAGAGGTTTTGCCTGCGTGTGTGACTGCAGCATGTGTGTGCCTTGCCTGGTAGTTTTGGAGGCCAGAAGGCAGCTTTGGGTCCCCTGGAAGTGGAGCTATCCATGGTTGTAAGCCATCATGTGGGTGCTGGGATCTGAACCCGGGTCCTTTGTAAGAGCCGCAAGTGCTCCTAACTGCTGAGTCATCTCTCTAGTCCCTATCTTCTTTTAATTTTTTAATGATAACTAATTTTGTGTTTCCATGAATGCACATGCATCCTAAGACCCAAATGTGGTGGTCAGAGGACATCTTGCAGAAGCTGGCTCTCTCTTTCCGCTGTGTGGATCCCAGGGACCGAACTCAGGTCTGCAGGCACTTTTACCTGCTGCACCACTTGGCAAGCCGAGGAAGCCCTATCTCCAGCTTGTTTATGTCCTGACCCAAGGCAACAGCTCTCACGAAACAGTTCATCCTGAAAGGGTACGGCCAGTTCCCTTCATTTGGCCCGTCACTTCCCAGGGCTCTCGAGAGGGGTAGATGTGACAACGGCTGAGAAAGAGCTGCAGGTGAAGACGCAAGAGCTCAGCCCCAACCAAAGACTTGCACACCGCAAAGGTGCTTTCAGCAAAGCAAGATCAAATTCGGTAACATAGAGGCGTTTCTCCTAAACCCCAGGAAGCAGTGTCCAGCGAGCTCCAGTTGATGCCATCAGAACAGAACATTCTTCTGACAAACTCTCTGGTCTCCGGTTTTATGTTTCACAGCGAGTTGTTGGGGGGGGGGCTGCTTTGTTATTTATTTGAGGGGAGGAAGACTGGGGATTGAGTCGGGAACAGGCTGAACCTGAACTCTGCTTTGAGGCTGTGCCTAACTTTGGAGTACTCATTATCGAGTAGAAGTTCCAAGAAAGAAATAGTCTCAGGGCTGGGGTGATGGCTCAGAGGTTCGGAGTGTTCGCTAATCCTGGAGAGAGAACCTGAGTTCCGTTTCCAGCATCCATTTTGGGAGGCTCCCGACAACCTGTCTGACACTCCGGTTATTCAGGCCTCCTCAGACACGTGTGTATGTGTGTGTGTGTGTGTGTGTGTGTGTGTGTGTGTGTGTGTACGCACACGCGCATACAGAAATAAAAATGACTCTTAAAAAAAGAAGACTGATAATATCTTGCTAACGTAAGTAAACAACCATCACCTGCCAGCACAAAAGGAGGCACAGACTGAGAAATAATGAATAAATAATACTTGCAAATACATTCAATCATAGGAGAAACACCAGACACAAGCTTGTCAGTCAGGCCAGATGTAAACTCCCCTCACTTGGGATTATAAAATAGTAAGTACGTGTGGCAGAATATTTAACTATGTAAAGGTGTGTTACATATGTTTATGCTGTATTTGTTTAACTAGGTAAAGACGTGTGGCTTTGTCTGCCTAAGGTATCTGATTGATCGATCTAATAAAAAGCTGAACAGCCAATAGCTGGGCAGAGAAGCAATAGGTGGGGCTGGTGAACAGAGAGAGAATACGTCGGTGGAGGAATCTAGGCTAGGTGAGAAGAAAAGAGAGGAGAGAGAAGAGAACAAGGGAGAAAGAGAGGAGAAAGACTCCCGGGCACAGCCAGGCAGCTACCAGACAGACAGACAGACATGGAGTAAGACATACAAAATGAAAGAAAGGTAAAAGGCTCAGAGGCAAAGTGTAGATGAAGAGAAACAGGTTAATGTAAGTTATAAGAGCTGTGGGACAAGTATAAAATAAGGCTGAGCATTCATAACTAATAATAAGTCTCTGTGTCGTGATTGGAGACCTGGTTGGTAACCTAAAAGAAAGCCTAATATAGTACCGCAAGACCACAAAATGTGGCAGGAATGAGTCCTGCGTCTGTACCAACTGGATGGCAGTTTCTCTTGTCTTTGACTCTCATTCTACTTCACAGTAATCCTTAAAATGGCCTGCCAACCAGCCGTGCATTGGACACCTGTGCCCCAACAAGTCTCTGGGCCTGATGCTACTAAGACTTCCTATGTCAACCCCAATTCCAGAACCTTTGTAAACTCGGAAGCTTGCTAAACATCCCTCCCCAATACACACTTGTATGAAGTGTCATATGTGGTCTGAGAGTTAATAATTAAGATTGGATATAAGAACTTGGATAGAGGGCCAGTGGCCAGCTATCACGTGAAAGTTGGAGTTATTTGGCAAACGGCAGACAGACAAAGCGATGTGGCTTGTGAGTTTATTTTTATTCAGTAAATTCTGACATTGTGGAAAGACACAAATACGTCCATCTATGTTTTTGCAATAATATGCTCACAATATATTGCTATGTATCCCAGGCTGGACTTGAACTCTTGGTCTTCCTGCTTCTGTGTCTTGAATGCTAGGATTATAGTCATTCACTATAATACCCAGCATCTGCCTGACAATAAGGCTGGTGTGTGTGTGGTGGGAGGAGGTTACTGGAATTTTCCTCAGGTTTTTACACACTCTAGGCAAGTACTTTACCACTAAGTTATGGCCTCACCTAACACAAGATATCCTAAGGGCTTTGTGGCTTTCTTCCTTGAGGTCACCCAAACCCCTAGGTACACCCTAGGAAGCAGAGGACTTGCCTGAGCGTGATCTAGTCACAGTCAGGAAATGGAAGAGGACGTGTCAGTTAAGACTTGATTCCAGGGACGGAAGCCGTTTGTCAGCAATGGAGCCCAGCAATGGGAATTTGTTGGAGGTGGATCTCACGACTGTGGGAAAGGGCTGCTGAACTGCGGGGGAAGTCAGCTGGGGACTTGATTCTGCACATCCTCCGATCTTTATAATGAAAACATTCATGGGGGTGGGGCACGCAGGCTACAGTGTATGTGTGGATGTCCGAGGATAACATCCAGGAGTCAGTTCCCTTCCTCTGCTGTGCTGGCTTCGGGGACAGCACTTGGGTTGTTCTTGATAGCGAGTGCCCTTACCCACTGAGCCATTCCAACAGCCCCTCTTTTCATCTTTTGTCTGCTGTTTTATGCTTTGATCTCTTATCAGGGTTTTGAGGACACGAACCATATGACAACATCCCCACGGTATGATGTCACCTCCCCAACTTCCTCTTCTTGTTGTTGTTCCCATTTGAAAGGTTCTGAGAAAGGACTCTCATTGGTCTGGTATTCCTCAGATGTTCACCTTTGGGTCAATCAGTCATGTCTAGGAGGACAAATGACCATAACCAATCAAACCAAGTGAGATCTAAAGTCCGATGGGGGAAGGACAGTCAAAATCAATACCCTAGATCTGGTCACAGGGCTCTGTCCATTAGGATCATTCAAGAAGCTAAGATCTTGTTGGAAGCTGCAGCCAGTCTAATTGTGGAAAGTAAAGGCAGCTGGTAAGAATGCTTCAAGTTCAGTCTTTTGATTAAAACTGGAGCCACAGTGATCCAAGAAATACCGAGCTTGGATGCTAAATCTACTGAATAGCATACTTGGCCACAGTGTACTAAACGGAGGTAAAAGCTCATGGGAAACTTGCCTGCTAGCTCTTAACCAACACAGGCTCAGAATATTCAAGTGAGAAGCAGACAAAAACCTATCCAGCCCTTTACCCCCTATCTCTCGGAGGACATTGGCTTCCTGATGGTGTAGCCGTATTATCTCTCTGCCTTCCCTTTCCCAAGAATCTCACGTCAAAGTTCAGATCAGAGGCTTTGTGTTAACTCATTTCCATGGCAACAGATTACCACTCTTTCTTGCTGCCCGGCCTCCATCACACGTCAGGGAGGGGCAACAAGCATCCATGTATTTCTCCACCAAGAGTAGGCTCGTGTGCTAATAGGAAAAGCGTGTCCCTCATTAACTTTTATCAAGAGCCAGGGAGAACAAAACAAGAATGGACAGGACTAGGCTGACATTTTCTTCCCGGATACTCAATTACATTTAATTCCTCCCCAAAGCACAAAGGCAAGTATAACTTATTTTAAAACATAATTAATCATAGGCAAAACTTCTTAGGAATTATAATGATTTTCTTATGGAACATCTCTCATAATGACTCTGTGTTTTGGGTACAGACTGCCCCAGAGAATTTCCTAGAAGGCCTTAGTCCACAGTTACATGGAAAATTTCCTTTTTTTTTTCCTTTTTGGTCAGATGTGAAAATATGACTTATGATTTAGTGTACACTTGTATGCTAGTGACACCGATATTCTGAAAGCAACCTCCAGGGGGAAGAAAATGCTATCAATCCCATACACACATGCACACATGTGAACTAACACGTCACTAGAGAAATTTCCCAGTGACACACAGGGCTTTGGTGGGAGGGTGTCACTTGATTTTTGGATGTCAGTTAAATCTTTGGTTACCAGGAGAAAAGGGTTATGTATAAAGTCCATCTCATTTTAAGTTATATTCAACAATTTCCCTACCTACTCGGTCATAGCAGTAGGTTAAATGCTGGTCCCCAAAGATACACCTGTGTTCTATTTCCTAGAACCTATGGCTATGACATCGTTTCAAAGAAAATGCTTTATGAATGTCATTAAGGATCTTGAGAGGAGGTCACCCTGGATTGTCCAGATCTGCCTCAACACTTCACTGACAAATGTCCTTATAAGACAGCTCAGAACAATGGGGCCAATAGTCAAGAGATGTCATAGCCACCAGAAGCTGTAAGAAGCAAAGCTCAGAGCCTCCTCGAAAGCCTTTGGAGTCCCTGCCACCATCTTACCCCTAGATTCCGGACCTCCGGAGCCCTCTGTTCCTGTCATCTTTAAGCTGCCAAGTTGTTTGTTAAGTTTCTCCAAGAAACAAATATAGTCACCCACCCAGAGAATGAAGCCAGGGGACTTAGAAAAGGTTCAATTATTCAGTGTAGTTGGCACCGAAACACATCCTGCAGGAACTGGTTTCTCATAGAGACAATTCTCTTACTGGTCCACACGGGCTATGCACTCCAGACAAGGGCTGCATTGCCACCCTTTGGGGAGTGAAGCTCATGACTTCGCTGTGAGCACACAGCACTAAGCGGAATGAAACCCCAGAGTTTTAAGGGGTTTCTTGTACTAGCAGGTCAACCTGGCCTGTTCAGCCCAACAGACATTCTTGTGTGATCTTTTTAAATGACTTCATAAAGTAAGTATAATCCATTTTCTTTTAGAAGGAAAAGAGAAATTAGTTTCATTGCCCCAGCAGGTCCCAACTGTTGAAAGACAGCCCCGGGACAGACACCTTGAGTGCCGGGGGAAACAATAACCCTTGTGAGTCAAGGTGGTGTGCAAAAACATGCTCCAGAGATCCATACACAATGTGAAGTCATGTGGGAAGGGAAGGTAGGAGCGCTTTAAGGATTATGGGATAGGGAGACTTCACAGAAGAACCAAGTGTACCCCTCCGAGCTAAATGTCACACTGAGAGTTAAGAAGCTGTGGCAAGAAAGTACCAAGGCGCAACCTTGGGACAGCTTGGATTATGAAACAAAGAGTCCCCCTGCCTCACCCCAGAAAAATTTCAGAACCAGTCAGACAGAGCTGCTTCGAACCTTGCTTGCTAAGCCACAGCGCCCCCCTAAGTAAGGAGGTCCACAATACATCTCTCCGTGGTTGTTGACCAAATTGAACCCTGTAACACAAGCGCAGAGCTTCACACGGAGTCTTTGATGATTTAACCAAATTCAGGATCTTGAAGTGGGATCATCTGGACTCACCTGCGTCTGCCGCCCAGTGCTAGTTACATCTGTTACTTCTAAACTTACCTCCGGCATAAATCTCGTGTCTTGATTCTTGTGAATGAATCCAGAAATCCAGGTGGCATCATTGCTCTAAGGATTGTCCCCAGGTCTTCAGAGATCTGAGAATGTCTTCACAGAGAAATCTTACCACCATCAAGCTTCATGGGGGCAGAGAGTGGACAGGAAAGAAAACTCGGTCAAGAGGGTACCATGTTTTCCTCACAGCGATGAATTTAACCCTCATGAAAACCCAGAAAGGTGTCATATTCCCTAAGGAATAATCTCTTTATGCCAGTTATGTAAAAGATGCCTAACTATGCATTAATTCAATATTTCTTGTCAAAAGGCTGGCATTATCTGCTGTTCTTGTCAGGGTTACTGTTGCTGTGAAGAAAGGCCATGCAACACTTTCATCAGAAGCCTTTCCTAGGCTTTCTTCACGGTGCCAGGCCTCAGCTTCTCTCCATGAGCCCTTCAATTCTGGGGCTTCAAATGTTCTGAGGCTTCCCTACCATACTTTCTTTTTTTTTTTTTTTTTTTTTGAGACAGGGTTTCTCTGTGGCTTTGGAGCCTTGTCCTGGAACTAGTTCTGTAGACCAGGCTGGTCTCGAACTGACAGAGATCCACCTGCCTCTGCCTCCTGAGTGCTGGGATTAAAGGCATGCACCACCATCGCCCGGCCCTACCGTACCTTCTCTACTGGCCTGTCCTGGCCTCTCACAGTGCCACGCCTCAGCTGCTCCTTAAGATCCCTCCGTGCCTTCAAACCAGTTCCAGCTTGGTGGCTCTTGCACTACCAAGTTCAGCTATCAGTACAAGTGCAACCTTGGCCACCTCTGGAGCACAGCTTCTGAGTGTGGTCTCAGAGGAAACACCTCCCAGAAGATTCTATCTCAGTGGTGTGGGTCTCTTTTTAACCGCCGCTAATTTCTTAGCTCCTGCTGACCTACATCTAGTGTCCCAGGAGAGCAAAGGTTTTAGTTTATCAGTTCTGGTTGCTTGTTAATTATGGCTGATTCTTCAGCACCAGATAACTAGAACTCACGGATTCTTAACGCAAAATATGCGACAGCCATGGTAGTCTTTAAGGGAGTCTCAAACTTCCTTCTAGAACTTCACAAGCCCGGCCCCCAATGTATGCCTTTTGATCCGGGCTGACACCAGACCATGACACTCAATGCTCTTATTTTTCCAGCTCCCCTAATCAACCCCCCAAGCTTTGAACACCCAATGGCTTTTCTAGCCCAAAGTTCCAAAGTTCTACAATCTTCCCCCTAACAACATGATCAGGTCTACCACAGCAATCCCCAATTCTGGTGCCAGTTTCTGTCCTCGTTAGTGACTATTACTGTGACGTAAGACCATGATCAAAAGTAAGTTGGGGAGGAAGGGATTGTTGGGCTTACACTTCCATACCAAAGCCCATCACTGAAGGAAGTCAGGATAGGGACTCAAGCAGTGCTGGAACCTGGAGGCAAGAACTGATTCAGAGGCCATGGAGAGGAGCTGCTTACTGGTTTGCTCAACATGGCTTCTTCAGACCGCTTTCTTACAGAACCCAGGACCACCAGCTCAGGGATGGCACCACCCACAATAGGCTGGGCTCTCCCCCGTGGATCACTAAGAAAATGTTCTACAACCGGATCTTAAGGAGGCATTTTCTCAACTGAGGGTTTCTCCTTTCAGATAACTCCAGCTTGTGTCAAGTTGAGTTGTGTCAGAACAACAACAACAACAACAACAAAACAAAAGCAAACCAAAAGCAAACAACAAAACTAGCCAACACGTTACCCAATCATTGGGCTACACGCTATGCATAGTGGGCAACAGATCCTCCTAAAGAAACTGTTGTTTTGGTGGAGAAGTATAGCTTACTAACAAACAGGACACCATTAAAACTCTTAAGAGAGGTCATCTGATGTGAATGGAGAATCGCTAGGAAACTGGAGGAGGCCTGGAGGGGAGAAAGCACGCGTGCATGCAGAAAACAGGGCATGGTGTGACCGAGGTTGCCGCTGGGGATAACGGACACCTTCCGATTGAGACCTAGCACATCCAAAGGCATCAGCTTTGTTGGGACAGGAGCTTGAGGCTGCCGCCCTTAGCAGCCCGAGGGCTTCTCTTCATCTTTTAGGAACCTCAGAGACTCAAGCCAGAGCCTTGACTTTCATGCAAAAGGGAAGTTGAGGGTGAAGTAGTATGAAGGCGAGCATGAAAAAGACATCTTTAATATCGGTTTTAGGAGATCCTAAGTTTATTCTATGTGTATGGATGCTTGGCTAGCATTTCTGTCTAGGTGTCACGCACGTGCCCCGTGGATGGGAACGCCAATCGAGGGCATCAGATCCCCTAGGTTGTGAGCCACCATGTGGACGCTGGGAATTAAACCCAGATCCTGTGGAAGAGCGGACAGCGCTCTGAACCAGTGAACTACTCACAAGGCCCTTTGTATAGATTCTAAACAGGAGGCTTAAGAAAAAGAGAAGCTATACCCTAGAGCATGGGTGTGGGCTTCTCAAAGAGTGAGTCCTACTTTATTGCTTTGAAAAAAGCCTTAGAAACAATTTTGGTGGGTTTTAAAGCTTTTATCCTTTAAGGACTGCTAAGGAAACTTACATGAAGTTACAATGTGGCTCCCAATGGCACCTGACTGGATTCCAACTGATAAGGTTAAAGTCTAGATGCCAAGGATGCAGGGCATTAGGTTCTCCCGTTGTAATTGAAGCTAGCAGTCTTGGTGGAGGTTCCCAGAAATTGTCTTGGAGAGGAGTGAGGTCATGCATATTCGGGCCTTACGGTTGGTCCAGGGAATCTCTGAATAGAAAACATCTCTGTACGCGAGGAATAATATCTGTATATCGGCAACCCTCACAGCAAGTGATGTGAATTGTGCTGAACAAGTGGGAACACACGTCCACATCCTGGGGCCCTAGCACTAGAAAAGGATAAAACTTACGTAGTCACGACTCTATGACCACTCTCAGTTTCCTCCCAAGTTCTTGCTGTGACCATGTCCTTTTGCTTGATTTGTCCCACAAACAAGAGCCTTGGGCAGAGTTTCTAGGTATTTAATGGCCCTCCTGTTCCCTTAACTAGACAGATGATGTTGGAGCCATTAAATACCACACAGAGGGACTTCCAAGAACCCGCATGTGACCAGAAAAGTCGGTAACTGATGAAGAATTTGAATGCTGTAGCATGTGGTAGATTAACCCCAAACAGCTACTGAGCTGTTGTTGGGAGCCTATTCCTTCCCAGCCCCAGTCCTAATGTTCTGCTACTCACAGACTTGGCCATTCACTCACCATGCCAGAAATAATCTGTTGGCTCCTGATTCTAACCACAGACCTAGGCCCAGGAGTGCCCCGTGGCATTAAGGGGCAGGGCTTCCTCACTGTGAGCTCCAGACTCCTCGTGACCAATCCCCTGAATTCCATCTGTGAGGCTGGAGTTTCTATTAGTGTTTCCAAAAAACATCTTTGCTGTAACTTCAGAGAGAGCCCAAGCCAGAACTGCCTCCATCACCTGCCGTAAGATTCCCAACTCTCAAGCTGTGAGGTGATGGGCACTTGGTATTTGTAACTACTGTAAACTGAAGTTCCCAGGAGAGAGAGAGAGAGAGAGAGAGAGAGAGAGAGAGAGAGAGAGAGAGAGAGAGAAAGAAAGAAAGAAAACTGAACCCTTGTTGAAGATTCTACAAGGCCAAAGGACTGAACTTTGGGAGTACAGGGAGTTAAACTGTTGTGGACCACGGACAAATTATCCTGGGCTATTTTTAGACGCTTTGAAAGCCATTCCTCGCCCACCTCTGTGTCAAGCCAGGATTTACCATCATTGTGCAGTTTCTCCATTTGTGGTGCAACGCCCAGGGCCTTCCAAGCCATCCTTTTAATCCTTGGAATGCGTGTTCCACGAGATACGCATAGCAAAACACTTCTACAGTCTTTTCAAGTGTGACCTTAAACGAAGCATGCTTAGGAACGGACCGAACCGTGTGTGAATACCTACAGATTTCCTGCTCTAAACTGCCTTTGTTCCAGAAAGGCAGAACTAGACATACCCCATGTTTCTTGCCTGCTGCCAGTAAGAAACCGTTCTCTGCTCTGTGAGGTCTTGGCTGTGCTTGTTCTGAGTTTGCACTCACTACAATGTGACCCACTGAGCCCAGGTTCAGGAGGGTGGCTAAAAAGGCAGGCACGAAGAACCCTAAGACAGAGGCAAGGGTCATGGAGAAATAGTTTGCTATGAGCCCTAGTCTACTTCTGACATTTCCCAATTGGACTGAGAAGTTCTAATGCTTGCCAGTTGGAACTCAACGTCGCTAAAGACCAGCTTCCTATTTCCCTGTTTGGGGTACAGAACTATCTATTTTGGCAAGCCCAGGCCTGTCTCACTGTGTGGGGTGGGGGGGGAGACATCTTGGACTCTAGTCGATGGATCTTTAATTAGAAGTGTATTTAAGGAACTACCCCCCCCCACACACACACACACAAAACAGTCACCTGGACTTCATTCAGATGGCAATTCTGTAAGTTAAGATGACATTGTAGTATGGTGTCATTTATAGGAACCTGGAGGAGTACATATATTTATATATTTCATATATATTCAAACTGCAAGGGGGTAGAATGTGATGGTTTGAAAACATCCACTTTTTTTATGTTTTAGTTTCTTTGGTCTTCAAGCAGTGGAACGACTCATCTTGCCGTGAATGTGGGCCGGACTTAGTGACTTACTTCTAATAAACAGAAAGAAGAAGAAAGGACAGTAGTGGGCACTGAAAAACAGTGTGACTATCTCCATGTTTCTACAAAGCAGAGCTTTCTGAGCAGTGGAAACCGACACGCCCTCTAAACGCAGAGTATCAGGTTGGGTTGCAGTTTGGTGGGTAGAGTGCTTGCCTCATGAATCCCTGGGTTCGATCCCAGCCCTGCATCAAACCGGACATTGTAGTGCAAGCCTGTGATCCCAGCACTTGGGAGGTGGGGACAGGAAGATAGGAAGTTCAGGGTCATTCTTGGCTACAATATAGAAAACAACTTGCTCCTTATGTACCAATAAACACATCCTTTGGGGTAGCCATTGATCATTTAGTCAAAGGAAAGTAAAATCGTTCTTACCTTCCCCAAAGCCACATGCCTATATCCTAGACAAAGCA